TGCAGGGCTGGGGGTAGCCGAGGGATAGTGACACACAGAAAGGTCTGCCTTGGGCCACTCTCCTCTACCCTGAGCCTCAGCTTCCTCCACTGCAAAAGAGAGGCTCTGCCTTGTACTACATGGCCGGCACAGAGATAGACGAAACTGTGCAGGCCACAGCCCAGCACCTGCAAGCCAGAGCACCTGCTGTGTGGAAGGTGATGTCCATCATCTTGACTGATGAACTAGCCCGAAGGAGCGGTTTGAGGGGGTCAGGGAGTGCCTGCTGGACCTCAGGCCAAAATAGGACTCACAAGCCAAGGTGTCTATATCAGGCTGGAGATAGTAGGGGGCTCTGGCTGTGGATCCCCAGGCTGCGCGTGGCACTGGTTCTACCAAGCGGGAGGGCCTGGACTAGCAGTGGGACCTGGGGAGCATAATCTCCCACCCCACAGCTTCCGTGAGTGCTCTTCCTTCCTTGGTTCCCCAGCTCCGGGTGGCTTTCCCACTAGCCACCTCAATGACAAGGACCAGGATGCCCCAGAGGCTCTACAGCAGCAGCCTGGGAGCCAAGAGCAGCTGGCTGGTTGCCCAGAAGCCAATGCCCTGCAGGGAGCCAGCTGGTCTTTACCCCAAGCCCAGTCCCATGGCCTGGACCCCCAGGGCAACCCTAGCTCACACAGAGTCCATGAGGCCTGGGCCTGCCTGGGAGGACTCCCACGTCCCTCGGGCCCAGCCTTCCCTCCCACACCTGTGCCAAGCTCACAAAGGCCTTCTGCGTCCTCACCTCCTCCTGGTCTGGGAAGAAGCAGTCATCCTGGCCACAGACGCAGGCCCAGGGTAACTGTGGGGAGGGGCACCATCTTTCACACCCACTTCACGAAGGGCATCACCCCAGCTCTCAACAGACCCCACGCCTCCACCTAGCCCTTCCTTTCCTTTGTTAACCTGCTGCAGCCAGTAGTGGCCGTGTTCTTCCCCTTCCTAACCAAGAGGCCAAGACCAGGGCCCCCTCGGAGCCGGGACCTCTGAGGAGCTGCCTGTGGCCAGGTGACCCCAGGTGGGCTCCCACTGGGGGATGAGCCTTGGGAGGCAGAGGGCAGAGGCTGCACCGGGCCAGCTGGGCTGCAGAGGTCTTCCAAGGTGGTGTGGGAAGGAGAAGGCTTTGTGCAGGACGACTGTCCTGAGAGACCTGTCCTCTAAGGTTCCCACACTTTCAGAGTCGCTCGCCCATGCAGCCAGGCCTAGAGGCGAGCATACTGCGGCCCCAGGTACCCACTCTCAATCCAGGCGGCAAGACCCGTGCCTAGGCAGGGCCACTGGCTGGATGGCACAAGGCCTGGGTTTCATGTGCTTTCCTGATTTCTTCACTTCTATACTACATCTCCACTTTAAAGGTATCCCTTCCCTAAGTCGTGGGAAAACCAGCTCACCGGGTGTTTCTCTGCATGTGGTACTTTGGTGATCTCACCCAGTTTTGAGAGAAATCCCTCCATGCCACTGGCCCTCACCATCAGCATGGACACCATGCTCATCCCAAATCCTGCTCCTGACAGCTGAACTATCCCTCTGCAAGGATAAGACTGTGTTACCAGGAAGTGAGCAGAAACACATCCTTTAGAAGGCAGACCGCCTGCAGAGTTCTTGAATCCCATACCCTTGCAGTCCTACATCACAGAGAGCAACTGCACCCATGAGGTATAACTGCAGGATGCCTCTTATGAGCAGAACTGTACCCAGAAGAGAGCTAACCTGGGTCCCTTCCAGCCTCACAGGGTCCCTAGACCCCTAGTTGCCTCTTTGACATTCGGTAGGTGGCTCCTCCCCAGCCAGCCTCCACCAAGCACCTGGCTTCAGGCATGGCTGCTTCCCCATCTTACTCCTTCTTGAACAGTAGGCAATGGCCCCAATAGGGAAGGTAAAGGATGGATGGTGCCCTTCAACCTAGCACAGGCTCCAAAACAGGACTTTGAGGAGATGACGCAGGGTCCCTGCATCCTCTGAGCTCCCTCCACAGCAGACTACTCCCCAGCTGCAGGGCTCTCAGACCTGTCTTACCCCATCCTAGGCTGGCTCTGCTTGAACCTGCCCCACCCTGTCCCAGGCCAGGCCTCCCTAGGTCTCTCCTGGACGTGCACCATCCCCACACTAGGCTGATCTTCCCTGGGCTCAGGAATAGGCCATGGACCTGTCTGCTGCCATCTGGTGGAGGCAAGAGGCTCAGAGCTTCTCTCTTGGAATAGATTCAGGTATTTGGGCCGGACTCCATGGGCACCCAAGCAGGATCCCCAGAGCACACTGAGTCCAACCACTCTCCATCTCCAGTGGGCCAGGGGTGCACCCCTCTGGCTTCCCTCCCCCAGGCTGCAGCACAGCCTAAGAGGGAAGGCTCTGCTGCAAGTAAGTGGGCCAGGCTGTACTCAGAGCCTGGGTGCCAAGTCAGGCTTTGGGAGCAGGTGGTACTCCATGGCTTCCAGACTGCAGGCAGCTACTGGCATCTCTGGGGGTGAGTCCAGAGAATGCCTGGGGATGTCTCCATCCCAACACAGACTGGACCCAGAGGACAGAGGCTAGGGGGAGGCCATAGTGCCTGTCCCCATGAGAAAAAGACCGTGTGGGGACTTCAGGTGAGGGGATGGGGCAGCTCCTCAGTCCCAACCCACACCTGACTGGACCCAGGAACCCACCAGTGATGGTGACAAGAGGAACAGTTGATGGTGGACTGCCCTCTGCACTGGCTGGGTCTCTGACCCCCTACCTGCCAATCCTCCCATAACTCTAGAGACAAAAGAAGACAGCAATCTGCCATCTTCCTGTCCCACCATGGGAGGGAGAAAGGTCCCCAACATACCCCACAAGCAGGGGGAGGCTGAGGCCTGTCAAGCTGCCCCGAGGCACAGATTGAGTATGTCTGTCTGTGAGTGTTGAAGTCACCAATAGCTCTGATCACACAAGAGAGCACAGAGCATATGGTACAGCTGTGCACAAACTGTGGGGCTCCTAATGACTGGTATGAGGTGCATATGGCCAGTGCAAATGGGGATTCCTCAGTGTGAGAAGTTCTGGGATGATGGAAGGTGTCCGAGCACCTTCCCTGAAAATCTCTCCTAATTAACGCTTCATATGGAGCCAAAAGTGTTGTAATAAAATGGCTATTAACGTACTTAAATTTATGATGATTTCACTGGGTGCAGCTGGAGTTAACCTTTTAGATGAGGACGGGAGGTCTGTGCGGAGCTGTTCACAGCGGGGCCCATACTGGGATGAGCCCCCAGCCCCACAGTGGGGCCCAGGGTGCTGGCCAGGACCTGAGCGTGTCACTCACTCTTGGGGCATTCCCTGTGAAGAATATCAATGAGGTCTGACAACCCCCCTCCAGGCAGGGACACAGAACAGCCCCAGGGCCTACACACCCTCAGTGCAAGCAGGAGAGAGAAGGGGTATATATGAGGGCAGCTTGCCCAGATGCTCCTCTTCATGGAGCTGGTATAGCCCGAGCCCCTGCCCCACACTCCTCCCTTACCCCCGGGTGACCTGCTGACTACAGGTGCACTAAATACACACAGCCTCCATCCACAGCCATATCAGTTCCCAGGGACCACAGCAGCACAGCTCTCCAACTGCTCCCTCACTCAAGGCCCCTATTCCACAACTAAGCAACACCAATAGCAAGCTTATTAAATGTCTTCCCCACCAGGAAGATCAGCTCCAAAGGGGCAAGGTCTCCACCAGACTCCCCTGGAAGGGGCCTGGCCAGGGTGCACATGCAATGCAGTTAGAACTTGACCCTGGTGGACCCAGACCATCTCTCCAGCCAGAAGATCAGAGGTGAACTACACACCCAGGCTGAACGAGGAGTGGACACAGCTGCCAGTGACAACGGCCCATGCCAGCACCTCTCTCTGCATCTCCTCACACCATGGGTCAAGGCCCACCACCATGACAGGGAGGCCAGGACCAGAGCTCACAGGCCACAGGCCGTGCCACAGACAGCTCGGACCCCAGGAGAAAGGGGGCAGCATATAGCCCAGAGCTAGAGTACTGAGGCCTGCAGACCCACGTTCCTGGCCTGGCATCACCTGTGCCATCTATGACTCAGGCATGGGCCTGGACCCTGTGCTTCAGCTTCCTTATCAGTAGACCTTGGGCAAGGACAACACCTGCTTCTGGGGACCCAGTGAAAGTAGCACTGGATGGTGGCAATAAAGGGCTTGGCGCAGGAACCAGTGGCATCAGCCACTACACCTTCGGTGCTTTTCCTGACATCTAGGAAGCCTTGCCAGTATTCAAGGCCAGGGATCCCACCATTCCGGGAAAGGCTATGCTGTGCCTGCAGGGCAATGAGCAAGCCACTCTTCCTCTCTGCTCAGGAAGGGATAGTTTGTTGGGGAGCCCCACCCACCCCCAATGACACATCCTCAGGCCCAGGCTCATTAGGCAGGTAGGAGCTCAGAGCCATGCAGGCCATCCAGGGAGACATGGGGGTGTGGGGATGGGACGTGGGCTCCTGGGTGCCATTAGCATACAGCCCCGAGCTGAGTGGGAGGCCCAAGGCACCACAGGGTCTGGGAGGCAGGCTCTTCAAAACTGGACTAGTCCTGTGTCCACACATCACTAGAAGAGGGCACAAGACTTCACAGAAGACCACAGAATAGTGCTGGGTGCAATGGGGAAGACAGAGGTCACAGACTGAGACAGCCCCTTCCCTGGGGGACACTGGCAGCCTCAGGATAGGGACATAACAAAGCAAACGGTGAGAACGAGCCGCTCCCTAGGGATGCAGCATGAGGGCAACACCAACTCTAGCCAGCTCTCTGGGCCCCAGCAGAGCCTCACACTGATCCCCGATCACCTATCTAGCTGCTGGCTGGAGCTGCCTGGGATGCCCTGGCCGCCCAGTACCATCATGAGAATTAAAGTAGACCCTGTGTGCAAACTACCAATCTCCAGCCATTCCCTGTACCCCACCCCTCCACCAGCCGTCATGACCCCTACAGCTGACTGCCCTCCACCAGACCTACCTCCATCTCTGAGCTGTGGGCATGCACCTTCTGCACCATGTCCTCCGCTTCCCGCATGCGGCGTGTCAGCTGGGGCGAGTACTCAGCCTGCGTAAGCTCGCTGTCATAGGACCCCAGGATGGCGCGCATGCCGTCCCGCTCCTGTGGGCAGAGGGCAGCTGGTCAGAGTGGAGAGGAGACACTGGGGATGCCTGGGAGGAGCATGGAGACAGGAGTCTGGTGGAGACACAAGAGGCACCTCAAGTTGCTCAGGACTTGGGTCCCCATGTACTGCCAACAGTGCCTTCCTCCAAACAGCCCACCTGAGACGAGAGGCCCAGGTGCTTTCCCAAGAGCCTGTACCTGGCCTCAGTGCCAAGCTGGATACCCTCTTGCTACTAAACCTCTGACTAGTGACACTCAGAGCAAGGATATAAACTAGCAGCCTGATGAATGAGGATCCAGTAGAGCAGGAATGTCTTAGCGTCCCACTGAGGTGAGAAACCTACTACACCAAGCTCCCTGAAGGTTGGCTCCAACTGAAATTGCTATGATCTCGCCCGGCGCCTCATATGCCCACAGAGCTCATGGATGAGGCCATTGGCCATGCCCAGTACCTACCTCTTCTCGGGGTATTCTGTGAAGCCCAGGTCTATTTCCCTGGGATGACAGGCAACCATAAAGTCAGGAATAACTTGGAGCCAGGACAAAGTCGCTACCCACCTGTGCCCTGCTAGAAGTGCAGAGGCTGGTATTATGAGCCAGGAAGCTGGGGACTGGGACTGGGACAGATTCCTCCTTCAAATGCTTGAGCACTTGTCACATGAGCCCGAAGGAGCAAGTCCTCTGCTAGGCCAGCCAGGAAGATGTCCCTGGTGGGAGCTGAGTTGCTCTGTAGGCTGTGTGAGGTACGTGGCCTGGCCAGGAAAGCCTAGTCTCCTCCAGCTGCTTGTTGAGTTCTCTCCCCGATGGTCCTAACAGCTCAGAGCCACTGGGTTCCTCTAGCCCTATATGCCACACCTAGGTCCAGGAGGCCCAGCCCCAGGAGATCCAGGCCAGGCTGGAACCCACCCCTAGCTCAGTGGGCATCTGAACAGCTCTTCCATCCCCTGTGCATGCGCACACAGCCCAGCAACCTGGCAAGAGGTGGGTGTGACAGACGATACAGGTCTGGGTGGCCAACCCAGCATGTCTCACTGGCACTCTGGTGTGTGCCCGTGCCTGGCTCTGAGCACACTCCTCCGGGAGTAGGTAGTGAGGATGTTGGGGCTGGCTTCCATGGCCCAGGTTCAAACCCCATTCTGCTCTGAGCTCAGCTGTCTAGTCATCCAAGTCTCAGTTCCACTGCAAGATGGCAGTGAGGACAGCTATAAAGTCAATACTGCCATGGCCTAAGTGTCTGGTGAGCTCCCCTGTAAAGAAGGTGCCCAGCAAGTGACAGAATTATATTAATGCTGGTCATCAGGGGCCAGTTATGGAGCTGGAAAGCAGGTCCTACCTGCTCACTGGCATACCCTGTCCCCACACACACATCCTGAGAAGGGAGCTGAGGGACAGTCAGCTCTGCATGATCTCACCAGGTCCCTGGCTGATATCTTCCCCCTCAAGTGAGCTGCAGCGTCCACTGGCACCAGCACTACCTCCCAACTGGGCATGTTCCCAACCCTGATGGAGACCTATTTTTTTTAGCCCACCTGAGAGCAAGGCCTCTTCCAGAAGCTGAGGCCCTTTTCATACAGCATTCTCTGTTTGTGCCCTCACAGGGAGAAGCTCAACCATGTCCCCAGGAAGAGGCCAACCCGGCAGCTCGGTTACCTTAGTGTTCCCACTGTCAGCTGCCCCTACCCAGGCCCTTTCCTTGCAAGTGGGACAGGGAGGACAGTAGGGTGTAGAAAGGCCCCTGCCTCCTCACTCTTGAGCTGACTGAGGGCACAGGGTCTCAGGCTGCCATGTCTGGCCTCTTCCCTCACAAGCAACTGAGGCGTGTGGTTGTCACCCAGCATGGAATGCGTAATTAGTTGATGACAAAAAATTCAATAAGTGAGAAATTAAAGTTACAAATCCAACTGGAACTGGTCACATATCCAGGGAAAATTTGTTTCCACAGGAAAGTTTATGAAGTGTCATAATTTTATTGAAATCCTATATCTTCCTATTGACTTTTATCGTTTCGAGCTGGTTACCCAAGTTATCATTACCAGACTGTCAATGCCACAAGAGGCCAGGGCGGGGGATTTCCTTCCATAAACAAGCTGTAATTGTCTCCTTTATTGACCAATAAATCTCGAAAATGCTGCCCTTCACTAGAGTTCTCTTCTGTTACATCTCCAGGCTAGCAATGCTGGCAAGGAAGAAAAATACTACACAAGAAGTTTGTTGTTTGTACCCTTTCAAGGAATTGTTTTGCCATTAGTAGAGGAGCAGGCACTGGGCTGGTGTGATGTGGTAATGACTTTTTAATGACTGATTCCACTTGCAGTCGAGTTTGCTTTGTTTCCACTTGAGCAAACGCTGGCGATTAATCGCTGCACAAACCGGCACACAGGCTATGCCGACAGAGCCTTAAAGACTTGCTCAGGAAGTACAAAACAAATGACACTTTCCACTGAGTGCATCTCCTGGGTACAGACAGTCCTGTAATGCCTGTCACATAACTGATGGCAACTGAAACAGAGTCAGAGAGTCTAGAGCACATTGTCTCGCCTATGAAGAAACCAGCAGAAGACCTCTATGCTCTGGACCCATCTGAGCTGCTAGCACCAGAGCCCAGGGCCTCCCAGGAAGGAGGCTGACCAGAGGCTGAGGAGCACAGACAAGGGAAGAAAAACAGCATGTCTAACTCCATTTATAAACTCATGAAGGGCATGAGAGACACTGGCCATCTGAGACTGCCGTGGCCTACATGAAACTAACAAGTCAATATCTGGGCATGTTCTGAAGACCACAAGCACATCACAAAAATTCAATGGGGGTACAGCAGCTCCCTACTGCAGCCCCAAGGCCCACAGTCTCCTCAAAGCTCTGGTCACATCGTTGCTTGCAGAAGCAAGACAGCTCTGCTTACCTACCTCTGCTGTAAGAGAACTTTCAAAGCTCTGTGCCCACCTCTAAAACCAGGGCTGCTCCTGGGGACCCAGGCCCCAGAAACTAGCCCAAGGCCAATTCCTGCAGGTCAAGTGCATAGATGCCCAGGGGCATGAGCAGCCGACACTGAGCACTCGACACTGCATGACAGGTGTTCTGAACATCAATATCAGGAGGAAGAGTTTCTAGCTACTTTCTCGTTGCTGCTGGGCTGAAACAGCTGAAACTCACAAGTTAAAGGAGGAAAGATTTATTTTAGCTCACAAACAGTCCATGACAAGGCAGGCAGGAAGCAGTGAGACTTTCTTCTTTTTTCCCTTTTTATTTCATCCAGTCTACAAGGCTACTGGTTGGTGCCACCCACACCCAGGGTGGTCTTCCCTCTTCAGTAAGCCCATCAACCATACTCAGAACTATGCTAAGCCAATCAGTGGACTAACCCAGCATCCCACGCCCAATAATCCAGTCACACCCGAAGCCCCACCTATGAGCACATGAGGCTTTGGGGAGACATCTAGATATAGAGTATAACAAAGAAGTAGGAAGGACATGGAGACAACGGCCTGTGTGTGGGACGGGGCTCTGTGGCATCTGCACGGCTACAACCTGGAGCTGACACTTGAGGAGCTTCCTCTGATCAGTTCCAACTATCCTGAAAGACCTGAGCCCTGGGGAGACGTGTCTGACCCGGAGCTCAGGCTCCAGACAGACCAGCCCACGCAGCATGAGACCTGAACACCTACAGGAGGGCCTAGGCAGGGCTTGGCCTAGGAGGACTTCCAGGGTCATCTCCATCTAGGCCATTTCCTTCCAGCATCACTGGGAAGCAGACACAACACTCCATGGGGGAATGCTCCAGACATGAGCAAAGCTGGCTTTTGGGGTTAGAAGAGCTACCTTCCATGGGTGTCCAGCTCTGACTCCGGGCACTGGAGGTGATAAGCCACACCTGCGAACATCAACACTGTGTTGGTCCCACCCATCTCTGTGAGACAGGCCATCTATCCAAGTCTCATATGTGGAACAGACCTGTTGTACTCCATGGACCTCACAGGGCAAGGACTCGAGGCAGACTCTGACCTGGGTCTGCAGTGAGTGTAGGGAGCAGCTGCAAATCCCTAGGGTAGCTGACATTTGCCATGTAACTTACTCTCGTGTAGGGAAAAGGCAGTAAGTGTGGTGTTTGAACAGAGTAGATGTTCAGATGAGGGAATGTAGGCAGAACAGCCATGATCCACAGTGAGAGAGTTGGTGACAGACCACCACAGTCACAAGTCAGGCCTGATGATGGGGAGAAGGAAAACCCACAAAAATCCAGCATTGAGGGGCTTCTAAGCCGCCGTCCCACCGCTCCCAGCTCAGAGGAAGGGGCTTCCGGGCTGCCGTCTGTCCTGCCATACCCGGCCCAGAGGAAGGGGCTTCTGGGCTGCTGTCTGTCCCACTGTTCTCAGCCCAGAGGAGGGGTCTTCCAGGCCCCCTACCATCCCATCACTCCCGGCCAAGAGGAAGGGGCTACTGAGCCACCATCCCACAGCTCCTGGCCCAAAAGTAGGGGCTTCCAGGCTGCCGTCCATCCCATCACTACTGGCCCAGAGGAAGGGGCTTCTGGGCCACTGTCCCACCACTCCCAGCTCAGAGGAGGTGAGCTGCACAGGTGCCAACAGCACCCCCCACCAAGTCGAAATGAGAAGACACATAAACAAGTCTCAACACCAGACTTCCAGATCACCTACAGCAACCCCAAAGGGAAATGAGATGGAACACTCTGATACTCAACAACCTGGACTCCCTGAACTGGCAACAAAAGAGGATCTGGAAAAAACGAAATCAGAAATAATTTCTCAGATAAC